TTAACGTCGTCTACAGTAAACCATCTCCGAATTAACATACTCTAAGATAAGGTGTAAGTTAACGTCGTCTACAGTAAACCATCTCCGAATTAACATTCTCTAAGATAAGGTGTAAGTTAACGTCGTCTACAGTAAACCATCACCGAATTAACATACTCTAAGATAAGCTGTAAGTTAACGTCGTCTATAGTAAACCAACACTTAATTAACGTACTCTAAAGTTAGCTGTAAGGTAACGTCGTCTCCAGTAAACCATCACCGAATTGAATTAACATACTCTAAGATAATCTGAAAGGTAACGTCGTCTACAGTAAGCCATCACTTAATTTACGTACTCCAAGATAATCTGTAAGGTAATGGCGTCTACAGTAAACCATCACTTAGTTTACGTACTCTAAGATAATCTCTAAGGTAATGTCGTCTACAGTAAGCCATCACTTAATTTACGTACTCTAAGATAATCTGTAAGTTAACGTCGTCTACAGTACTCTAAGATAAGCTGTAAGTTAACGTCGTCTACAGTAAACCATCATTAAATTAACATACACTAAGATAAGCTGTAAGGTAACGTCGTCTACAGTAAACCATCACTTAATTAACTGACTCTAAGATAATCTGTAAGGTAACGTCGTCTACATTAAACCATCACTTAATTAAAATACTCTAAGATAATCTGTAAGGTAACGTCGTCTACAGTAAACCCTCACTTAATTAACATACTCTAAGATAATCTGTAAGATAACGTCGTCTACAGTAAACCATCACTTAATTAAACATACTGTAAGGTAAGCTATACAGTCTAAATCAAGACATCAGCTTATCAACGTGGTCTAAAGTAAGCCGTTAGATAGCTTAGTCTTAAATAATACATAAGTTAATTATCATACTCTACAGTAAGCTGCTAGTTAAAAAAAAAAGACGCCAAAGCAGCGTTATTCACCTCGGCTTATTTTTCTTTCCTTTGATTACTGGTACGTTATAATCCTAATAACCGGTACGTGATAATTGTATGTTTCCATTTGCTTATGCATTGCCACTATTAAACCTTACCAAACAAAATAGAAAGATATCAGATTATAATTCTCACATAATTCCCATTGGTGTAGTGTTATGAATAACGTGTTCGTGACGTCGCGACTTAATTACGTCGTTTTGACCGACATCACTATATTAAATGTATAATTGACGTCACGAAAGAAATGAATCAATACCCATTCCTCGTGGTAACCCATCCGTACTACCGGATTAAAAAAAACCAATTGATCAATGTAACTCGCAACAATTTATGTAGTTATGTTGTATAAAAAGGGAATATCCTCACGTTGGAATATATTGATTAAATTATTGAAATTAAATTGATGATTTTGTGTTTATTTCCAAGAACTATACTTTTTTCCGGGAACCGTCGCGTGTACATGTGACGTCACAAAAACAGGTTCCATTGACAGACAGCGC